TAATTTATTGGACTGTGTAATTACTATAATTTATTGGACTGTGTAACCACTACATGTACATGTACATGCAGTGGTACATGTACATGACATCGACATGTAGATGTACCATGTAGATGTACCATGTAGATGTAGATGTACATGTACACTATTGACTATTCGTGTGTAATTTTGGCTGTGCTTAAAAGCACTTTTGTCAATTTGTAAAAGTAATTAAGTACAAGTACAAAGCACATAGATTATATTGAAAAGGTGCTTGCAAGCAGCACTAAGCACTTTGAAAGCTGTGCTTATTTGTACTTAAGTACAAGCACCAAGTGCTTGACCCCATGCCTGATACGTATATGTGTATGAGTCTTTAAAAATAAATTTTGAAAATTTGAATGAACTGGTATTGCTTTGCTTGTAAATTCAAGTGTCATACATGCATAATGTACAGGAAATAAAGAAAGAATTAAATTTTAAGTATTATAAACTTACCTAGGTTTATTGATGGAGGTCCAGTGTGAGATAGAGAGGGACAGAGAGAAAGGGAGACACATGGGGGTGGGAAGGAGAAACTGAGGGAGGGAGAGAGAGAATTATGAATACGTTTGTATAAATCTGACAATATATACATGTACATAACATCGTGAACTTGTGTGTCTTAAGGAGAGTTAGAGGCGCATGATTATGAAAGTACATGTACATGTACATTCATTTATGGAGTTTGAATAAAATAAGTGAAGGTTTGCATATAATAGTTTGAAAAAGAGTGGGTATTGGGTAGAAAAATTACCAGTAGTGGCAAAAATGGCTAGTACATATACTATGTAGCTGAAGCAGCAAGTGTAGTTTGTTCGTGCGTATACTTAAACTGAGTGAAGGAATATGGACTCTTCAAATGCACTACATGTACAAGAATATAAACATGACACATGTCATGCAGATACAATATGAAAACTGCATTTTTACATAACCGGTTAACCTGAAACCAGTTGGTAGCTCTAAAACTAAATGTGCATGTACATGTATTAAAGGACTTAACTTAATTACCATATAGTGGGACATTTTGGAGGGAGTTAAATTTGATGATTGCTAAATTTTGGACTTTAAAAAGTACTTGAACTTATACTTAAGTACTATTATTAAAAGCATGTAACTGTACTTATACACGTATTTTGTAAATGTACTTGGACATTACTTCAGTACTTAGGGCTTTTTATTAAATAAACACCAAACATTGAAGGATACAAAATGTAGAATAAAATAAGCAAGCAAGCAGTTTACTGTACACATACCTGTAGTATAGTTGTAGAGACAGTCACAGGCTTTAAGCTGTATCCATATTCTGCTGCTGGACAGGGTGAGTACAATCTTAATTTATTGACATTTGCTTGAAATAAGCTCCTGACTCCTTCCCGTTTCAATCCACCATTTTATTGACTGTGGCAATACCTGCTAATTAATAAGGGTTATAAATAATGAATATTTTTGCCCTAATAAAGATGCTTTGCTAAGGCCACTCCAATCATAGTATCCCTGGGCAGGCAGGTTTATTTATTCCCATTATTTATTTATTCATTATCACTTGTAAACTATATGTATGTGTATAATAGAGCTGCGAACCTGGGCCCTTTAGCATAAGCAGTTACTGACGGTTAATCGGTTAAAGCTAGTTTAATAATACTACTGCAAATATGTAAGAATAGTAAGAATTACGATAAGTAAAGTTTGATTTAGTTGGCCAACACAACGTATATTCTCTTTTCAATGGTATATGGCATTGTCTTGTGGGTCACAAAGGTCAATTTACTAGAAATTATAAGTGTTCCTGCTTGAATAAGTGCATAAAATCATTAATTTTATAAAACCGGTTATAGCTAAAAATAACTGATAACCTGAAATTATGCTGTAACCAGTTGGTTAACCGCTTAACCTAAAACCGGTTCACAGCTCTAGTGTATAATTAATGCTCCACCGCAATAACATACATCAGGACATATTCGTGGCTGCTAATATTCACAATTTTGTATTGCACCCACAACTATCATGCAGATGTGATTCAATATTAAAGCAAAGCATCCTGATGCAGTGTTCTTGAGTTGTTGTTAGTAGCTTAACCAGTTCTTTTCAGAACTACTCTACTTACTATATCTTGGAACTCCCCACCCATTCCAGCTAGTGTTTATTGGCTTGGGTGTGGTTTGTTATCATGACTGACTGACCAGCAACAATTTTCAGCAAGGAGTTTGGAGGTAGAGGTCCTTAAAAAAAGGAACAGAAGTTGCTATTGGTAAAATGGCTACTAAAGATAGAAAATTAGCTGAAGACTGTAAACATGTGGTCTTGTTGTCATAGCAGATCCCTATCGGTTCCCATGGTACACGTACTTCATCACACTTTCATTAATGTGAATATTAGCAACCGTAAAATATTACATGTACTTATGGTAACGAAATAGCAATGGGGGACCATGTGGGCGAGAAATGGGAATAGTAAGGCATAGTCCGGGCCACACAAGTCACTCCCAAATCTAAACCATGTGGCGCTGGAGAGGGTATTTCAGCCCCACCCTTTAACATACCCATAATGCTTTACTCAATGTATAAAACTGACAATTTACTTTATTATATTTACCTTACTTGAAGAGATTGAAGTTAATTGAAGCATATGAATTATAAACACAGAACTCAGTGGATAACTAATCAATTAGTCTACTAATCAATCAACTGAATTATAATTCACATTAATTAATTTTCTCTCACTTGAAGTAATTAGTGTAAGTAGATAGGGTGTTTAGGCATGCACATCATCTCAATCTCATCACAGATCAGTCCGAGGATCAGTCCGTAACTCTGTCAGTAAGCATAGATACTGTTGATTTCACTTCAAATGGAACACCCGGGCGCACCGGGCCCGGGATCCGGTCATTCTGAAAGTAAGCTCACGTGATAAAAATGGCTGACCCGGCCACCGCCCGGGTGTTCCATTTGAAGTGAAATCAACAGTACAGTATACAGGGATTGGAAACACCCGGATAATTAATGGTTGATGCGCGTTACGGGTTAATAATTTTATTCAAAATGGCCGCCCTATAGATGTTAAAATTACAAACCCTATTTATTTCATATATCTTGACGCTGCAGTATCACTGACACTTGATAACTATTCTACAATGTAAAAACTAATAGTTGGAATCAAATAAAAGTTGCATGCATAGCAAGTTTATCAAAAATAATCAATAAACGCCGTATTCTTCACTTGCAGAAACAGCCTTCCAAATATCCACAGGACAAAAATAGTCACTTCATTGTAGCTCATTACATTGGAGAGATTCCTAGGGAACAATACTAATGTCACAGATTTTCGTTATTAGTCATAGTGAAGTTGCCAGAGGGAGAAATTCCACCGTAGGTCCAACTATTCTTGATGTCCTCAATAAAACACGGCTTAAGAGAAAATTAAGATTAAAAACACTCAGTACATTGGATAATAGTCACATCAATCTAGACATCTCATCATAACAGCTGTTGTGTCATCAATGTAGAAGCTAGAGGGAGAAAAGATCTCAAATCATACGAGAATGGATATATTGCAAAGAGTACCAGTTTATAGAATACCTTCGAAAGAGAGCTTTATGCAGCCAAAGTTTTCCTAGAACGGGGGCTACTCAAATCTTAAAAAGTCATTAGACAGATGACTTTCTCGAGACTTTTCTGAAGAATATCCCTGGATATCTATTTTTAACCCGTAACACGCCTAGGTTTTTTGACAATTTTTGTTGTCTCATTGAAATGTTAAGGAAAAGATCACGTGATACCGGGCCGTTTCCAATCCCTGTTGTATACTGTATCTATGCAGTAAGCAAAGGCTTTAGTCTCCATTAAAATGATACTGAGCATGCGCAGTTAGCTGGATCAAAATGGCGTCCAACCACTTGGTGAGTTCATGTGTGTTTCAAAATGACGACGAAAAATTATTTTCTAGAATTACAATGCCAAGCCACACTGCACTAGCGTCCCTAAAGTGCAACAGAATGGTGCAAAATATTTTTTATAGGATAAAAACTGTAGGACTAGCTCTTACTTAACTGTGGAAGAAGGAGAAAGAAACCTGAACATTTGGTGCATGCAGGCATGCATGCATTCATTTGCCGTAAAACTATCTTATAGAGGTTTTTAACAATTTTTATCTTGACTGTCAGATAAGAAATAAAGAATTCCTGAAGATTTACACCGGCTCAATGGTTCTGGGATGGCAGCCATTTTGGGGGTCCGCTCGTCCAACTCAACCCTACATACCAAGCGCTAATTAACGCTTGGTAATAACAATCATTAACAAACTGAAAGTACTGTAATATTCCCATGAGCTAGATGTGAGGGATGGAAGAAGTGCACCATTCAGTCGTATTTGTGACGAATCATCAGCAGCAAGTACAACAAGGTTAACAACAGAATCACCAAATATGGGAAGAAAACTAGTTCCATTAGAAGCATATTGATGCAATGGAGAAATGATTATCATATCACGTTTAGCTACTGAGAACTGAGCCACAAGTATTGGACTAGTTGAACTAACGTAACAGCTAGTTTGAGATAATATAGTGCCACCTTCTTGAAGGGATAATGAATAACTGCTGTTACCTTCATTGCACAATAGATTGGCATTGGTATTAGCCTCTGATCCAATTAGTTTCAATATATAACCAGATTGACAATTATAAATAGCAAATGATTGAACCAGGAACTCATTACCCCATGAGGCTACTGATGGTATTTGCTCACCAACAAAGTCACAATTTGAGCCAACAACACAAGTGTGACCAGAACAGACAGATATTGGATTATTAGATTCAAGTTTTGTTCCTGCATCAGCTTTATCTACAACTGGTTTGAGTAAAAATGTCTCCAGGTATTGTAATTGTATTGTTATTGATTGTCCAGCATTAAGACTGATCTGATTACCTGATGAGGTGAGACTAGAGTAGAGGACTAGAGGGTATAGTAACAGTCACTGTTGGTGTGATTCTTATATTGGTATTATTATTACCAGAGACTATTAGAAGAGATGAGAATGAGGTTGATTCATCTGTACCAATAGACACAGCATAATGCACATAACTATTGACTGGGTAAACCAAAACTGGATAGTTGATATATTCCTGTAGATGGAAAAGTACTCAGTACTGATACAGTTACTGATATTTTCTTATCTGTTCCACTTGTTACCAGTAGACCTTTATATCTCTCTAATTCACTATTGACAGCATAAAATGATATGATATCATGAATAGTTGTTGGTATACCAGCAGTAACTGAACCATTAGCTATTGTTTGGGTGAGGTTACTGACTGTAAAATTCACTGTTTCTGTTTCTGGGGTAGTGATGAAAAGTGACACGGATTCAAATCTCACTGGTAATATACCTGTAGTGACCGAATGGAGAGAGCTTGACCTTCGTATTTTGTAAATATTGATTATTGTAAAAAGGCTAAAATCTCTTCTGACAAAAATGAAAAGAGCATACACTTATATACAAACAGTATTACATCATATTACATCACAATGACAAAACATTACACAACAATCAGAATCAGTATACATGAACTAATAAGCATAGTAAATCATAAGCATCAGCTAGAAGGGAAAGAAATAACATCATACAGCAATGCAATAATAATAATAATTAATAATAGTAATAATAATAATTGTAATAACAATAGTAGTAATAATAATCATAATAACAATAATAATAATACTAGAAATAACTGTAATCTCAATGCCTTAGACAATAATAATAGGAATCAATACCAAAATAATATATCAATATATAACACCCCTCCCCTCTTAAGTTAACATACATACGGCCCATGATCAGTAGTCATCCTTGAACGAGTCGATCGACGAATCGGTGGGGGCAAAGGAGGCGGAGTAGGAGGTGGAGGCACGTTAGGAATCAATGGAGTGAAATTATCATCCCAATCACTGTCCTCCGGCAGGGTATCTGGCTCAGAGTCTTCAGTGTACCTTTTTCTGAGCTGATCAGCATGTCTTTTAAGCACTAAACCATCCATAGTTTCAACATGGTAAGACAATGGTCCAGTGACCTTACAGACAACCACAGGAATCCATAATGGCTTCCCAGAGTAGTTCCTTGCAAACAGCTTGTCATGTAGCTTGAATGATCTTGCATTGCTTTTAGTCTTCTCTTTCTGTGAAGGTAGAGTGAAATCTGGGTGAGCAGTATCTAAGACTGATCTCAATCTACGTCCCATTAAGAGTTCAGCTGGGGATTGCCCAGTAGTAGATTGAGGAGTGATTCGGTAAGAGAAAAGGAATCGAGCAATTCTTTCATGTAGTGGTCCTTCCATCTTCTTAATAGCATTCTTAAATGTCTGCACTGCTCTTTCTGCTAGACCGTTAGACCTCGGATGGTAAGGAGCTGTTAGTGAATGGCAAATACCATTTAGAGACATGAATTTCTTAAATTCTTGACTAGTAAATGAAGGTCCATTATCAGAGACCAACTGATGAGGAAGACCATGAGTAGAGAATATGTGACGAAGGACTTTGATAGTCGCTTCAGAGGAAGTAGAAGGTACAATGCATACTTCTAACCAGCGAGAGTGAGCATCTACCAGAATGAGGAAGTAGTGTCCCAGGAAAGGACCAGCATGGTCTATATGAAGTCGTGTCCATGGAGTCTTTGGAACTTCCCATGGGTGTACAGGAGTTTGAGGAGGGAGAGCACTGTTTTCTTGGCATGCCTTACATTTCTTTACTAGATCTTCAATTGCCTTGTCTAATCCAGGCCACCAGAAATAGCAGCGGGCTAGACTCTTCATTTTCGACATTCCCTGATGTGCTTCATGTAATTGAAGGAGAATAGCTGACTGACCCTGGGGTGGAACAATCACTCTTGAGCCTCGAAGGAGACATCCATTAGCTACACTGAGTTCTACAAAACAGTGCGAATAAGGTTTCAGTTGTGGAGCATCATCAGGTACCTCCCCTCCAGTGAGTACTATCTGACGTAACCTTGATAAGTTTGGATCCTTATCTGTCCACATCTTAATATCATCAGCTGAAACTATAGCTTCTGAAATATGTTCAAACATTAGCACTACATCTTGTGGTATAGGAACAGAAGAAGGGAAGTTAGGAAGTGGTAGTCTGCTCAATGCATCTGCATGTGGAATTAATTTACCTGGTTTGTACTGGATAACATAGTTATATGCTGATAGTGCAATTGCCCAACGTTGGATACGAGATAAGGCAAGTAGAGGAATCTGTTTAGACTCGCTCAGGAGAAACTGTAGTGGTTTATGGTCAGAATGAAGGACAAATTTTCTACCATAAATGTAATCATGAAATTTGCGAACAGCAAAGATAATTGCTAGAGCTTCCTTCTCCAACTGAGAGTACTTCTTTTCAGCTGCTGAGAGAGTACGGGAAGCATATGCAACTGGCAGGTCAGTCCCATCAGACATCCTGTGGCTGAGGACTGCTCCTAGTCCGTAAGGTGAAGCATCACAAGCTACCACGAGTGGCTTCTTCTCATCATAGTGCGTTAAGACAGAGGAGGAATGAAGCATGGCTTTAGCCTTTTGAAATGCTTTCTCTTGGTCCTGAGACCATTTCCAGGGAGTATCTTTTCGAAGGAGTAGATGAAGAGGAGATAATACAGTGGCTACATCTGGTAGAAATTTGTGGTAATAGTTCAATAGTCCTAAGAAGGATTTCAGTTCCGTGACGTTAGTAGGAGTAGGCGCTTCTCGAATAGCCTTCACTTTGGCTTCTGAAGGATGTAGACCATCTGAATCAATGATGTGTCCCAAGTACTCAACTGATGGAACACCAAATTTACACTTGGACTGCTTTAAAGTGAGTCCTGCCTCCTCTAGAGTTTGCAAAACAGCATGAAGATTATTGAGGTGATCAGCATCATCAGTGCCAGTAACGAGTATGTCGTCTATGTAGACACATACATGCTGCAAGTGACTGAGTAAGTTCTCAATTGTACGTTGAAATAATGAGGGTGCTGATGAGACTCCAAAAGGAAGGCGCTCATATTGGAAGAGCCCTTTAGGGGTATTGATGGTTGTAAATTTCTTGGAAGCCTCATCTAGCGGTATCTGAAGGTAAGCGTGCTTTAAATCAAGTTTCGAGAAGATCTTTCCTCCAGCTAGGGCAGCGAACAGATCCTCTGATCGAGGTAGTGGATATGTATCAGTTAACAGAACTGGGTTCACAGTAACTTTGTAGTCCCCGCACAATCGAATAGACCCGTCAGTCTTTACAATGGGAACTATGGGTGCAGCCCACTCTGAGTACTTTACAGGTGTAATAACTCCTAAACCCCTTAGGCGATCTATCTCGTCGAATACCTTTTGTCTCAGCGATAGAGCGACAGGACGTGGTCGGTAGAACTTCGGTTTCGCATCTGACTGGACGTGAATCTTGGCTGTGAAGTCCCGCAGCTTCCCCAATTCCGAACAAAATACTGGAGCGTGCTTCTGGAGTACTTCACCTAAAGAAGAAAAAGAACAATTATAATTAACATGATTAATAAGGGACCAATCTAGTCGGATAACTTCCAACCAATTACGACCCAGTAGAGTAGGTCCATTTCCAGGAACTATCACCAGTGGTAGAGTAGCAGTCTGGGACTGATAACGAACATCAACATCTATAGCACCGACTGGCTTGATCTTCTCTCCAGTATACGTAGTTAGAATGACATGAGAAGGAGAAATTGGAGGAAGAGTAGAAGAAAGAGAGGAATAAGTGTCTTTACTCATTATAGATAAGGAAGCCCCAGTGTCCAGTTCCATGGAAAGGTCAACCTTATTGACACTCACTGAAACAACAATAGGTTTTCCAGCAGAAGGCAAAGTAAACAATGGGTAGTCCTCTTGGTCAGAGTCTCCCGTGAGAAGAGGATGTGACTTGTGGTCCAGGTTGTGAGTCGGGTGTTGTCTGTTATTCTGCTGAGGTTGTGGTGGGTACCCAGTCTTGGCTTTAGGATGATTCCTCTGCTGCTGTGGCTTCTCTTTTCGACTGCGACATACCCTGGCTAGGTGTCCCTTCTTTCCACACAGCCTACAATCTGCCTCAATAAACTTGCATTTAGTAGCGTAATGATCTCCACCACATCTGTAACACTCAACTTTACTCTGCCTGTGTGACGATTCCTTCTTGTGTTGAAGGTTATGAACAGGAGTCGGCGTCTGGTGCTGTGATTTACTCCCAGGTAGATCAGAGACATCATGAGCAGCTAGCTCCATAGCTTGAGCTATTTGAAATGCTTTATCGTAGTCTAAATCTGGCTCTTGTAAAAGTCTTCTCTGGATTCGAATGCTGTTGATGCCACAAACGAGCCTATCCCGAATCATAGCATCTAGAGAATCTTGGAAATCGCAATGTTCTCCTATCACACGGAGCTCTGCCACAT